TGTGAATTAATTGAGAGAAGTCTGATGCAGCCAGAATTATGGCAGGAACAAAGCTGAAACCATCCTCTTCAGAGCCGGAGGCTGTGTTGAATGCAACCAAACAGAACACCAAGGATGCAAATGTAAACAGTTATCCTAAAGCAGCTCGGAGGATGGGATCTTTAGGGAGTGACCATGGAGCAAGGTACTGCATTTTTTTTGTTGTCAAGGAACTATTATACTACAATACAGCAGCCAGTATACAAACTAGTTATAATCTGTTTCGATGGTGACAATGGTAACGCTTCTTCAGAAAACAAGCTGGTGAATTTGCATATTCAGGTAAGAGGCAGAGCAAGCCAGCTTAAGATCTATCGGTTGATGTGCACATTCACTGGATAAGATATATTTAACTCATTTGATGGTAAGCAATGATTGATATTTGAACAGGCTCTCTGTTGTTGACAGCGATAATGCTGGCTTATGTATTTTCTTGTTGAATAGCGAGTTACAAGGGAGGGTGGCTTATTTTTGAAGTCAGGTACAAGCCATTGGTAGAATTTTAAAATAGGATAAGACTTGTTTTGCTGATTAATTCACATTACACATGTGGTCATTGCAGCTTGTCATCCACTTATTGCTGCAATAGTTTGGCACAGCAAGAGCAAATGTCTTGTGTGTTTTTTGACATCCACTTCTTCATATTGTTTTTGTTAGTTGAGCAGGTTATTGTAAAAATTGAAAGTGGGGTGTGTTGCGGGAGAGTACTTCTTCCCCATAACCATCCCAGCTTTACATCATGTTCATTTAATACTGTGCTGGCATCCCATTAGCAGGCACGCATAGCAATGTTCTCAAACTACACAAGTTGTTAGCTCTTTCTGCTTCTTATCTGGAAAAATAAATGCTTTTAAATTTAATTTTCATCATTTAACCTTTTATCCCATTTTTATTGCATGGTGCCTGCAAAACGAAGGAAACAGTGGCTACCAAAGGCAACAGCTCACAAGTTGCCTTACACTGGGTGATGTCTGCAATGTCTCTTTGGTCAGCTTAGAGTCATAGGACCATTCCAGTTCATATCTTTTGGCATCCTTGGTTGTCTTTGTTTCTACTGCTTTCATGGGCAATGAAGTCAAGGTTCTTCTGTACATTCCCTCTGTATCTCTTCCAGAAATTCTGAAATCTGGTCCTCATATCATCAGCTGATGGACTGAGAGCTAAGTAAAGCTGAGATCAGAAATTGCATGCGCAGAGGCGTGTCTTCTGGAGCTCCAACGCTGTGACTAAGCTGTCTCTCGGAAGCTGAGAGCAACAGATCCCTGTGGATTCAGGCATTTACACTTTGTGGGAAAGTAGCTAACTTGCCCTGCACAGCTGATAGCAGTGAATTCGAAAGTGGGAAATTGTCAATGGCAACTGGCATTGTGTTTGTGAGAAGCCTTTGTTAAGCTCACAGCAAAACTGTTTATGGTTATTTCAATATTTTCTAGTCAATCGGTTCAGAAATGTTTGTAGTATTTTCTAGTCATTAAGTTCAGAGATGTTATTACACACCTCTGGAGCACATGGGACAATATCACTGATTCTGGCCTAACACATTTGCATTCGGTTACCTACCTCTTATTAATAAATAATGGGATATAAGTAGAGGTTACATATGAAGATGCAGAGACTGTGGTGTTTATCCTACGAAGGTGCACTGATTGGAACTCCATGATGGAAACGCCAAGACTTTTACTATCAGTGTCCGGAGTGTGGTCTGAATCTTATCCTCTGAATAATAATGTTTTTGTATCGATTTACAGATGGTGGGTGGGGCTGGCCAGGCCAGCATTTATTGCCCCTGCCTAATTGCAAAGATGGTGCTATTGCTGGATATTAATCCAGGGCTCTGGGTTCGAATCCCACTATATCAGCTGGTAAATTTGAAATAGATTGATAAATCTGGAAATGAAAGCTATTTGAATGGCAACCGTGAAATCATTGTCAATTATTGTAAGAAGCCATCTGGTTCAGTTATAAACTTTAGAGAAGGAAATCTATCATCCTTACTTAGTTTGGCCTACATGCAGGAGCATAAGAGTAGGCCATTCAGCCCCTCACGCCTGCTCCACGATTCAGTTAGATCATGGCTGATTTGTAACCTAACTCCATACAGCTACCTTTGGCCCATATCCCTTGATACCCTTGCTTAATAAAAATTTGTCTATCTCAGATTTAAATTTAAAAATGAGCACCTACCATCATTTGACTCCAGACCCACAGTTATGTGGTGGACTTTAAGCGCCTCTAAAGTGTCTCGAGCAAAGTTGTATCAATCCACTATAAAGTCTAAAGAAATGTATGAAATTGATGGCCCATTTCTCATTGGCCTAGACACGAAAAATAACAACAGCAAACCCAATTCTCTTGACCCTGCAAAGTCCTGTTTATAGTCACCTGGGAGGGCTTGTGCCGAAAATTGGGAGACCTATCTCATAGACTAGTCAAGCAAAAGCCTGGTATAGTCACGCAGAATGTACTCTGGATGGTAAACTTCAACACTTATTACTTCCAGAGGGCTAGAACACAAGGGCAGAGTTGCACTGGTGAGGTTGTGTAAGGCTCAGATCACATTAGGAATATGGTGAGCAGTTTTGAGCCACGAATCTAAGAAAGGATGTTTTGGCCTTGGAGCGAGTCCAGAGGAGATTTACAAAAATGATCATGGAAATGAAGGGCTTATTATATGAGGAGTGGTTGAAGACTTTGGGTCTGTACTTGATGGAGTCTAGAAGAATGAGGAGGGACCTAATTGAAACGTACAAAATACTGAGAGGCCTGGATCAAATGGGCATGAAGAAGATGTTTCTTCTCGTAGGAGAGATAGGGCCCCAAGGGCACAGCCTCAGAGTGAATGGACTCATCAATAACCTACTCACTGGTGGTCACTTTGAGTTCCACTATGAGTTGGGCTGATAAGTGGCAAGTAACAATTGCGCCAGACGAATGCCAGGCAATGACTGTCTCCAACAAGAGAGAATCTGATGTTTTCTTCCTGACATTTAATGATCTTATCACCACTGAATCCCCCAATACTGACAATCTGGGATTATCATTGATCAGAAATTGAACACCCATATAGGTACAGTGGCTACTAGAACAGATCAGAGGCAAGGAATACTGCAGCGATAACTCACCTCCTGACTCCCCAAACCCATCCACCATCTATAAGATAGGAATGTGGTGGAATTTTCCAATTGCCAGGATGAGTGCAGCTCCAACAACCCTGAAAAAGTTCAATACCCATCCAGAACAAAATAACCAACTTGATTAGTACCCCGTCCATGACCAGCAACATTCACTCACTTTGGCACCTATGCAAAGTCGCAGCAGTGTGTATCTTCTAAAACATGCCTTGTAGAGATTCATCAAGGCTCCTTAGACAGCAACTTCCAAACCTCTATCACTTAGAAGGACAAGGACAGCAGAACGTGGGAGGTTCATTTGCAAGTTCACTCCAAGTCACACACCATCTTTCTTTGAAATATATTGCCATTACCTCACTGTCACTGGGTCAAAATCCTGGAACTCTCTCCCTTACAGCACTAAGGGTGTGCCTAACCTCAAGGACTGCAGCAGTTCAGAAAGAAGCTCACCACCATCTTCTTAAGAGCAATCAAGGATGGGCAATAAGTTCTGGCATAGCTAACAACATCCACAACACATGAATGAAAACATTGCTGTGTACCAGAGACAAAGCTTCATATCCCAACATGACAATTATTGGAAATAAGTTAAATTAGCAAATTTGTGATGGTGAACATGCAGCTAACATTAATTATCATAAAAACATATCTGGTTCACCAATGTCCTTTAAGCAAGGAAATTGGCTCACTCTCCCTCATCCAGCCTCCATGTGACTCCCTAGCTCTAAAAATGTCGCTGATTTTTAAATGGCCTCTGAAATGGAAGGGAGATCTACTTATGTGCAAAACCAGAATGTGTTTGTTTTGGTGAGAAAGGTGAAGCGAAAAGTTTAGGATATCGGCGAGGTCAGAAAGAGGACAAGAGGAAACCAAATGGCTTATGTGTTGGATTTTGGAATGATGACTGTGGTGTGTTACAATTCACTCATTGGGCCCACATTTTTCTGGCAACATGTGCTTTTAGGGACTTTTGTAGTCCGGAGCAATGGATCATGATGGTTGAGACTGCAATATTCCATCCATCAGGAATCGCTCCAACTCTTACTGTCTGGTCCAGGCTGACAGTCATAACTGATTATTTTGTGAATCCACATTCCTTGGTCTACAGTCTTCACCAACACAGGAGCTGGAGAGAAGTGGGCACCACCGGGGCAGGAGTGCATTATCTCGGCCTACAATTCCATTTCGATTGAGCACTCTCTCCTTCCCTAAACATCCATCGCCTTTATTCTTGTTGCACTGCCCCTAGTGGACCGTGCTAGTAAATTGTTGTTTTAATTTGTTAACTGGTGTTGGGTTTAAATAGAAAAGCCGGGTTCCTGGTTGTAATACTCCTGGGGGTAGATTATCAGATTAATTTAGGATATCTGGTCAGCATGGATGAGTTGGACCAAAGGGTCTGTTTCCTGCTGTACATTTGTATGACTCTATGATCAGGGGTCTCGTACACATTAACAGGTCCAGGCAGCAGGATGTGGAGGGGGTTGTGGTCTGCACTCACCTTGTGTGGCTATATCTGTACGTATGTTTGAGGAGGGAGAACAGAGCATACCCTGGTATCCTCGAGGCTTTCAGAGATAGGTGGGCACAGCAGGGGCTGGCATGCGTTCTTCCCCCCAAAGCACCATTTTGATTGAGTCCCCTCCCCTGTTTTCCGTACTTTATTGGTTTTCTTTTGTTGTGTCACTGCCCTCGGTGGAGTGTTTGTAATTTGCTAATGGGGTGTTTTGCTAATTTGCTGGTGGGTTTATTTAATGTTTCAAAAAATCCTGTCATCTTTCACAGGAGCGAGGTGGGGGGTGAGAGCGAAAGCGGAGTTGTATTCAGAAGGGAAAGGTGGAAATTGGCGTTTGTACTAAACTATAGAGTTACAATAAAACCCTTTATAAATCCCTGAAAGTGTTTTACTGCCTAATTCAACATACTGATATCTTCCTGTTAAATTGGAAGGACAGGCTAACACTGGTAGTCTGTGTCACTGTGGCAGGTTTTAAACGTAAACCAATGCTAATTCATGTTAGGAAACGCCTGGACCCTTAAAGGAAAAAATAAATCTCAACCACAAGTGTTTTGGAAAACAAAGAGCAGTAGTGTTCGTTGTTTGGTTTAAGCAAAATCAGGATGTGCTTGTGGAGAAAGGACATGTCCCTCAAGGCTCTGCGTTCTTAGGGCTAAATGGATCAAAGAGTATGGGGGAGAAAGCAGGAACAGGGGACTCATCTGGATGATTAGCCACGATAATATAGAATGGCAGAGCAGACTTCAAGGACTGAATGGCCTGCTGCTGTTCCCATTTTCTGTTTTTCTATGTCCTACTCATCCTACATAATGCACCTGGATCTTCTCTAGGAGATAGTCATCCAAATATTAAACTTGTGGTTTTACCTTCAAATACAACATCATCCATCCAGCCAATGGACCAGGGGTCATTGTAATGTCCGAAGCATACCTCACCTCTCGATGTTCTAGCCACATTCTCAACCTCATGGAGACAGACATTTCAACCATTGTTTGTCATTGCTGAAAAGAATTTAACATTGTGGTAGTGTTAGGGCAAATAAGGTCTCATGGGTTGAGGTTAGAGAACCAACAGTCAATGCCTACTGGAGGAAGGTTTGACCTGTGGATGTGAGAGATTTCATTAGTTTCCCCTGTTTGGCTGCTGAAGGTATTGTGTAACGGGAATTGAATGATAACGATGTACATGATATTGTGACTGTGAGGGGTTTTGTGGTGAGGAGAGGTTAGGCAAGTTGGGCTTTTACTCACTTGAAAAGATGAGAGGGGACCTCATTGAAAAATACAGGATTTTCAGGGGACTTGACAGGGTAGATGTGGAAAGGTTATTTCCCCTTGTGGGAGAGTCTAGGATCGGAGACGATAATCTCAGAATAAAGGCTTGTCCATTTAAGACAGATTTAGAGTGAAATTTCTCCTCTCAGTGAATCTGAGGAATTCTTTACCACAGAGGACTATCGAGGCTGGGTCATTAAGTGTATTCAAGGCTGAGATGGACAGATGTTAACCAGTAAATAAAGGGTTATGGAGAAAAGGCAAGAAAGTGGTGTTGAGAATTATCAGATTACGCATCAACTCCATTCAATGATGGAACAGACTTGATTGACAGAATGGCCTATATCTGCTCCTACATTTTATGATCTAATCAATGGACAATGGGCACAAGCTATTGAGAAGTTAAAGAAGAGAAGAATGGGAACATTACTGCAGAGCTGGAATCAGTATTCTGTATTCAAGGACGGACAGAGAGAGTGAACAGGTTAAACTGAGAGTGAGGAAACGTTACCGTAAAATAAGGGTAGGAGAGAAGACTTACCTGCTTCCCAGCTTTCCCTCTGATTTTCTATCTGGCTGCATGGGCCTCTGAGGTCCACAAATGGATGTGACTTCCGGAACCAATGGTCAATGCCGTATTCGGTGTGCCAATACCAATCGCTGTGTGTGAAACCTTGGAACAGCTGTGCGCACATGCAGTCAGCCAACTTAGAAAGAAGGATGTTGCCAATCAATCAGCACTCTCCTATCTTATCATATAGATGTTGGTTTTCTGCTTCAATGGGTGTTCTTGTGAATTATCCTAACCTGTGCTGATGAAAATCTCCAGGAAAGCATGTCTTTGTTCCGCAGTACTAGAGCTAGTTTAATTTTCCATTGTTTAATTCACAGTAGGTGTAAGTTGAGTCTGTGATATGATCATGTGCCAATACAAAATAGCTATAAATTAACATGTTGAAAAAGGCATTCTGTCTTTGTGTATGTTTTGTGACTGAAACCAAGTGCCCACAGATTGTAAATCTTCACTGTTGGGTTTTACATCTTTCACATCTTTTACATCTTTCTTCTTTGGCTTGAAGAAGTATTGAGTAATTGGCTTTTGGCGAAAAAGCATATGTGCCCTTTATGCACTAAATTACTTGAATGGATGTTAATTCAAGTTAGAAACACAGAAACAGGAAATACATAACAGGAATAAATCTAATTTAAAAGGTGGGCAAGCCATGTCTGACTAAATCCATTAACTGTAGCTCCATTATTATGGATAATTGTAAGGCTCCATCGTAATTGAAAATATTGAAACATGTTGATTGGAAATGAAATGGCATGCCTCTGAAGTGCTTATAGTTCTTTCACCAAAGCTACGTTTTAAAGACATGCTCTGAAATAAGGCAGTGCAAAGACATGGTGCTCAGCTACTCAGATGCCTGTTATTATTCCCACTTTTACTTAACGCCAACATCCTGTACATTTTTCCCACAGTTTTTCTTCCATCCTGGCCAAAGGACGTAGACTCACATTGTGTACAGTTCACTGCCAGTGGGCATCAAACATATACAAGAGCAAAGTACTGCAGATGCTGGAAATCTGAAATGAAAACACAAGTTGCTGGAGAAATTCAGCAGGTCTGGCAGCATCTGTGGAGAGAGAAACAGCGTGAATGTTTCAGCTCTGACATGACTTTTCTTCAAAACTGAAGTTTGGTCTGAGAAGGGTCACCGGACGAGAAACGTTAACTCTGTTTTTGCCTTCACAGATGCTGCCAGACCTGCTGGGCTTTTCCAGCAACTTCTGTTTTTGTTCCTGAAGTTTGGTCTCAATGAACATATAGGCCACACCAGATAAGGATGACAATTTCCTTCCCTAAAAGCCATTAGTGAACCAGATAGTGTTTTTTCCTGACAATTAGGCATGGTTTTATGCTCATCATAGGCTCTTAATTTCAGACGTTTTAATTAAATTCAAATTCCACTGTTGGTTTGAACTTGAGTCCTCAGACCAATACTTGAATCTCTTGACTAATCGTCTATTGACATCCTGGCCTAGACTCTGGGTCTGTACTCAATGGAATAAGGAAGATAAGGGGGGGACCTCATTGAAACTTTAAAAATACCGAGAGGCCTGGATACAGTGGATGTGGAGAAGATGTTTCTGCTAATAAGGGAGTATAGTACCGAAGGGCACAGCCTCAGAATGAATGGATGACGCTTCAGAACAGAGATGAGGAGGAATTTCTTCAGCCAGAGGGTGGTGAATCTGTGGAAGTCATTGCTGCAGAAGGCCATGGAGGCCAAGTTATTGAGTGTATTTAAGACAGAAATAGATAGGTTGTTGATTAGTAAGGGGATCAACGGTTACAGGGAGGAGGCAGGAGAATGGGATTAAGAAACATATCAACCATGATCAAATTGTGGAGCAGACCCGATGGGCTGAATAGCCTAATTCTGCTTCTATATCGTATGGATAATGCCACAAAGTCATCCCCTCCCCCATGTGAGTGATCCTGATTGCTCTACTGGAAAGTTAGTTCAGGACTTCTGAAAAAACAACATGGAAATAGTCATTATGAAGAGAGAGTGTCTGTGTGAAAATCCCTTGCCATTTGACTGTAGGTCAGGGGGAGAGGGTTGGTATGGAGAAGGTCTATTTATTTAATTATCCTGTCCACAGCTTTTGAGAGGATTTGGACCAGGGCCACAGTTTTACAATGACAGCATGAGTCTTATCTTTTATATATGAAATTCAAAGGCTTTTACCAGTGTTTTGTGGATGGATGGATTCCATCAATCCATCAGTTTAATTAATAACCATTTCTTCAAGGTGACAAAGTAAATTTGTTCCTTGTGGAGTTTCTGTATTGTTATGATGGCATTATGGACTTTAAGAGTTTTTTTTTGAACAAATCAATGCTTTAAGGCATCAGATTTCCATGATGCAGGAAACTTTTCTTTGAAAACTGCAAGTTGGTGCCTTAGATTATGACCTGTACTTATTTTTCCCATTCAACAAGTACAACGCAGCTTCAGTTCTGATCTAAACTTCTGTTTTTTACAGAAGGGATATTAGATAAAATATTAACCATTTACGGAGACGCTGTGTTCAGACAGTTGACCAAACTTTTGGTCAAGGGGTTTAGTTTTACGTTTTAAGGAGAGTCTTAAACGAGCTAGAGATATTTTTGGAAGAAATTTCAAGGCTTGAGTCCCAGATATCTGTTGGCGTAGTTACCACTGGTGGTGCAAAAGATGCTCAACAGCCATCTTAGATGGAATGCAAAATTCTTGGAGGTCTGCAGGACATCACAGAGGCCCAGGGGAAAAAAAAACAAAAGCAGGGAGAGATTAGGGCACAAAGATGAGAATTATGAATCTAAGGGGTCTCTCAATAGAAACAGGGCCGCGGTGCTTTGGATGAGATCAATTTTATAACTTAACATTGGTTTGTAGGTGTGTGTGTGTGTATGTGTCTGTGTGTGTTGGGGAACTTGCATGAGTGAAATAGCTGCTATTAGTGTCTGCAAAACAAGGGTGACTAAGTGAGCACACTTTATAACTAATTCAATGGTTGAACACTGCAGGCACTGGCAATCTTAAATGAAAACAGAAATTGCTAGATATAATCAGCAACTCAAGTGGCATCCATGGAGAATTAACCTTTCAGGTGAATGATCTTCAATTTCATTGATTGCAAAGCACCTGATTTTTTTTTCCACTTATGGGATGCGAGTGTTAGATTTATTTATTGCTAGATTTATTGCCCATCCCTAATTGCCTCGGAGAAGATGGTCATGAGCCACTGTAGTCTATGGCAAGGGTCTTGAGTACCCCTGCTGTGCTGTTAGAGAGGCATTTCTGGAGTTTTGACCCAGCAACAGTGACTGAGTAGTGATTTACTTCCAAGTCAGGATGGTGTGTAGCTTGGAGGACAATTCCGAGATTATAAAGCATGGCATATATAATCAAATTCTTTCTTTGTTTTAAACAGAAGAATTAGAAAAGAAGGAATTTTATACATGCCTTTATGCACAGGATTAGTAATAACATTAAAGCATTTTAATCATTTACATCATCCATGGATACATGCTTTTCATGCTTATTTCATTTTGATTCATTCATGGGACATGGGCATCGCTGGCTGGGCCAGCATCTATTGCCCATCCCTAGTTGCCCTTGAGAAGGTGGTGATCTGCTTCCTTGAACATTTTGGAGTCCATGTGCGGTAGGCAGACCCACAATGCCATTAGGGAGGGGATTCCAGGATTTTGACACAGTGACAGTGAAGGAGCGGTGATATG